ATTCTATATATTTAAAACTTTATAATATTTTAAAAATTAATAAACCTAAAAATTATAATTTGAAAATATACGATTATGGTTTATTTTTAGCATGACATGAATATGATAACTATATATTGTAGTAATATTATATATTTTGTCTGCTTCTTGTCTAAAATAGAATATTAGAAGTCGGTCCTGAGAGGAATTGCTTTCTAGAATGGGTTATAGTTGTAGGGATTTAGTTCATTTAAATATAAAGAAGATTTTTTTATTTTATCAATTGAGTATAAAAATAAAATCTGTTACTATCTAACAATAATTTTCTCATGAGCTTTATATATCTTTTTTTATAAAATGTAAATCAATTACGGTCATAAAACATAGCTGCAATATTAACAAAAAGTTATATAAATTGAGTAATAATAAATATAGTACATATTATGTAACAGTTTAGAGCTATAAATCAAATATTAACATAATGGAAATTTTATAAATTAACTTTATTTTTGTTAATAATATAATAAAATAAATTGATTCAATATATATATACTAAAAAGACCTATATGAGATTATCATTTAACATTTTTATTAGTGCTTATTTCTAAAATACTATACGTAAAATAATAAACCTTTTGTATCATCACTTTTTCATTTTGGTATATTTTACATTTGATTATTTGTTTTACTATATAAGCCTTATAGTTGTACTAAGCTAATCCCTATCTTAAATTACAACATATATTATATTTGTAAAAAATAATTAGATATGAATAAAAATACACAATTCAATTCATATAGGTTTTTGAATGCCTAATAGTGACGAATTTTTATATTAAGATTTTAAATGCAACCCTCAGGATTTCGTTAATAAACATCCATACATTCTTCCATCTATGAACATCTAGGCGTAATAATTTGTGAAAAATAATATTATGTAAGCCGTTTTCGAAAAAATAGAACTCTTAACAACATCAAGTACCTTTTACAAATTTGGTAACAGGATTGGTCAAATAAAAATAAAGCCTTATAAATTTAGCACCCCTCGAAAGTGTCTACTTTGAAAAAAATTTTTATCAAAAATTATAAAATAAGTTTTATGGAGTTATAATCTTTTTAAATCGAATATTCATAAAATAGGAATAATAACAATTTAACAATTTCAATTTCTTTTCGGATATTTGTATACACGTACAAGAAAATTGAAAATATTCAAACATTTTATCACTTAATTGTAATCCTGGAATTTTTAAATTAAGAATGAAATCTTATATTTTACATGAAATAAAATATATTTTAAAAAATTTCAAAATTTGTAAAATTTATGAAACATGTCCAATCTTCCATTAGAATTATTTTTAAAAGTTTAGTTAATTTTGAAACGTATAATTCTTACAGTATTATTTTTATTTTATTTTTTTCTCTCTTTAGCTTTCACCTTTTCTGGTGGTAAGCTCCTTCAACATCTCTCTCCACTTTATGTTATTCATACAATCTCTTTTCTAATTTATACTTCTTTATATTGGCTCTAACTTTATGGCCTCATTGAAGTTTTGGTTTTATATTCATTTAAAACTTTTTATTTTGAATAATATAACACTTTATTATAGAAAAATATACTAACTAATAACCCGTCAAGAATGACGGGGTTGAGTGTATATGGTACTAAATATACTTTATTAATATATTTTATAAAAATATTAAAATTTAGAGAAAAAGAGGTAAATTTGTGAATCACACCTTATAAGATATTCTTAATTTAAAGTATGATGACCCGTCTTTCTAGATAGGCAAAATGAAAAATATATAACTAAGAGTAGTACTAGTGCTCCCGTTAGTATTGCTGATCAAAAATGACTGGGAATGAGAATAATTTTCTCCTTACTCTTATGATAGTTGTTACCTGTTATTTGAAAATAATATACAATTTTTATTCTTTATAACCCCCTCCTACCCCCCTTCTGGCCAAGTCTAATTAAAACTAAGTGTAAATGCTATGTTTTAGTTCAAAAAATATTAGAGCTTTTACTTGATATACATATCAATGTTATTGTTAAAATATTACTGATCACCTATGCCTAATATTTAATATTGAGAAAATTACCAAGCAAGGTCCAAGGCTGTAATAATTTTGAAAAAATTTCCCCAACCCCAACCAAGGATCATATAAATTTTGATAGTTTAGAACTGAAAATAAGCCTTGTTTTTTGATCAGGCCGACAGGCCTACAAAAAAATTGTTTTAGGTCAATGTCTGATCCATAGTTAATAAAAAAATTCCCAAGCGTCCAAACTAATAATAATTTGAAAAATTTTCCCCAAGGCCAGCCCATGTTTTTTTCTAAAAATTTCGCAACTTTATAAATTTTAAGCCAAGATTTATTAAATTCTCTAACTTTAAAAAATTAATAAACTTTTTTATATTCGAAAAAATGATTTAAACCACTTTTATAAATAGCTTATTCTCTTTTATCGAAGATTCGAAATTTAATGTTGTAGTCGAAGAAATATATATCGATTTTTTTTGTATGTTTGTATGTTAAAAGAAAGAAAAAAAACATATTATTGATTTTTGAGATGATATATTTTTATTTTCGCTCGCGATTTTCATTATAGTTTTTCATGTTTTTTTCCTCGATTTGGTGAATTTAGAAAAATTATAAACGATATATTTTAGTTTTTTGAATTTAGAAAAGCATAATATATATTTGTATTGAAATTAATAAAAGAAAAAAATAAAATAAAATAATTGGAAATAAAAATTTGTCTTGAACTTTGAAATAAAGATTTGTCTTAACCTTTGAGGATAAATTTGTCTTAAACATTTTTAGTGTCTTAAACATTTTAGGATCACTACATTTGGTGCCGTTCATATTTAAAGATACCTGGCGGAACACCATTGACTACCATTGTATAGATTAAAGGCCGAAAATTATTTAAAAAGTATTTTAAAAAAAAAATTCGAAAAAAAAGTATATTCTGGAATCTATGGAAACTTACTACATCAAAACAAATAGGACAATGCTGCAAATTAATTCGTTCGATATGTCCAATCCACTCGCCGATAAATGGCACAATGCATGGATCGAGCAACAAACTGGAGAAGATGCTCCGCCGACAACCTCGAATGGTCCTACGTCCTCGCAGGGTAGAGCCCCTTTACAAGCGAATTTTGCGACAGGTCCGGCAGCTATCCAATCAAGGCAAGTAGGAATGAGGGGGCTCAACTTAAATTGCTTCAATTGTGGGGGAAGAGGACACAAGGCCCGGGAGTGTGCGAGTGGAGCGAGTAATTCGTATACGTTCAACCAAGGGGTCAATCGTTGGGCTGGGGCCAACCTCGGAGAGTGTTCGACGAAGCAAGATTATTAGCGAGGGAAGCGGAAGAATTCGCTGAACGACATGTGCTATTCAAATTCCGCCGGGCAGCAGAGATTGAAAGAATGACATGTGGGACAATGCAAGATTTGGGAAGGAAAGAAATTCAAAATGGAGGAGAAAATTCGAAATTTATGGTTTAAAAAAATGTTAAATCTAATGTTAATGGAGCTGAGGTAGAAATGAGTGACTCCCTGGAGGATTTAATCATTAACGCGGCGCCATGATTTTTTTTGTCTAAGTGTTGTAAAATATTTTTTTGGTATATAATAGATAAATTTTAGTGTAAAATATTTTTTTGGTATATAATAGATAAATTTTAGAAAATTTAGTTTTTGTTGTATTGCAATTATTTTTTTAGCATGTACCTTGGAGTTTATCCTTAGAAGGGGGTACATGTTGTAGTCGAAGAAATATATATCGATTTTTTTTGTATGTTTGTATGTTAAAAGATAGAAAAAAAAACATATTATTGATTTTTGAGATGATAATTTTTATTTTCGCTCGCGATTTTCATTATAGTTTTTCATGTTTTTTTCCGCGATTTGGTGAATTTAGAAAAATTATAAACGATATATTTTAGTTTTTTGAATTTAGAAAAGCATAATATATATTTGTATTGAAATTAATAAAAGAAAAAAATAAAATAATTGGTAATAAAAATTTGTCTTGAACTTTGAAATAAAGATTTGTCTTAACCTTTGAGGATAAATTTGTCTTAAACATTTTTAGTGTCTTAAACATTTTAGGATCACTACAATTATATCTTTGATATATAAAATTTGGCAACTAATCTCATTCTCACTTATATTTCTTCACGTTCTTAAATATTGAGTTATATTGAATACGTTGAGCCAAATTGTTAAATATAGTTTAAGAAAACTTTGATCATTTGGAAATGTAATAAGTATTTAGTTGATAGCGTATTTTTTGAAAGTATTTTTTTTAAAAATATTGGCCAACCTAAAATTGGCAATGAAATCTTCGTATAATTTATACTATAAAAATTAATTCTAAAACTAAATTTTTTTTAAAATTACCTTCGTAAAATGAAAAACTTGGGCATTTTTAAAAAAATATCCTAGTTTGCTTCCTCCTTTAAATGTCTTTAATAGGGAAAGTATTAAATTAACTATAGTGAGTAAGAAGAGAAGATTGTTTAAAATTTTAAATTTCCGTTACAATTGCTTCAAGTATATTCCTTTTATAGTACAAACTTCCTAAATTATTACCGCTGATGCCTCAAAATATCTCTCGATGTGAAATACTTCAAAATATACATAATGCTTTGCTCTGTTTACTTTCAAAAAACATGAATTATTGGGCAAATAGAGAGGGAAGTTTTATCGATTTACAGTTTGAATTAGATCAATAGTCCTTGTTGTCAATCAGTTGAAAGAAAGATATCGGTAATTTATCATCTAGTTTGACTTGTTCTGCATTGTTGCCTACATGATTCCAATACTCCGAATTCCTAGGCAAGGGAATTCTAATATTTTGTCACGAATACTAATTACTAAGAACTATGAATATTTATGACATTCACACAAATTTATGAAACAACATAATGAAATTTGTTCACTGAATTAAATTTAAAATTAGAAATAAAAATGATCTATCAACAAGATATATAACACTATATGGTACAAATATTTGTTAAGGTTTATTTAAAATTATGTAATTGCTATCTAAATAATTTAGACTTTCACAAAAAATTTCTGTTTAATGCTCTCGCATAATTTTTTTTTTCAAGTAATATATAATAGAAATAAAATTGATAGAAAAAATTGGTTTAATCATGTTTTTTTAAAATGTAAATTTTATATTAAAATAATTTATTAAAAAATTTTGTCTCAGTCCCAGCAAGCACAATAATAGCATCCGTTTCTACGCCTATATCTAGTACAGTAATAAGAGCATCTCACACGAGGGCACACTATAATATTAATGATTTATAAGAATATACATCAACAACTTGAAACCAAATATATATAATGGTAAATCTATATCTAAAAAATGATTTAAAATAAAAGAATCTAAACAGTTCTTAGCAAAATTCTCTGAAATTCATGGTGGGGGTATCTTTGTACATGTTAGAATACATTTCTTATCTTTTTAAAATTTTAAAAATCACCTTCAATAAATGATATAAAATTGAGAAATTCTGTATACCCATGGAATCCTTTCCCAATACGATTATATATATATGGTGAATTATCCAATCAACCAGGGTTTCAACCCATCACCTCAGAATTTTTTTTTATTTTTTATATTGGCAGTATACACTTAATAAAAAAATGAAATTTTACTCCCTTACACCACTTACTCACTAAGATATGGGAGTTTAAAGAGTGGATTTTTGACAAAATGCACTTCATTAATTTTCAAATATCTCATGATTTGATTAGGTTAGAGCAATTATTTAAATTTTACTATATAACTTAATAATAGATCTTTAATATGACATATAAATAAATGCAATAGAAACACGATTTATACCAAAAACCGGAAGTACAAAACCGTAAATGGCTATAGAACACAAATCAATTTATATTTGTGTAAAATACTAGACTGGGCTATAAACTTTGGTAAAATTTTCTCTTGAAATTACTGGCAAAATAATTTTAAATATTTTATTTTAGTGTAAATCAAAAAATAAAAGAACGAAATGACTATTTATTATTTTACACGAATTTTAATAAATTATTATTTAACATTTTTTGAAACGCTAACAAAATCACCCAACTAATACGTAGATTATTTAATTGCAAAATTAAATACTTTGATTCTGCATTCTTATAGCTTCACAACAATCCTTAATTCGAAACTTATTAAAATCATGCTGGCGAATTCTTAGTTATTACTAGCCTTTCAGAAAATTATGCATTTGTAGATGCAGGACCATGCACAAGGATTCTATTGGGCCAATAAACAGGCCACTACTCACTTTTTATAATTTATTAAATTACCTTTAAGACTGTTTAATTATACATTAAATTTTGTTGTTATAACAGATTGCTTAAAGCAAAACGCATGTGCATTTTATGACCAAAGTGTTAACATAATTTTTAAATAAATTATTACGATATGATTTATTTAAAATTTATCCATTTTGGCATATAAAGAGTCATAACTCTTAGACCAACGTTTAGCCCAGTCTAGGATTTTGTACAAATTTAAAGCAGTTTGAAAAAAAAAACCTATTTTTCTATGGCCATTTCCAGTTCTGTTACTTCGGGAATTTGTTATTAATCGATTTTCTATCACATTTATTTATGTCATATTAAAGATCTATAACTAAGCTATACAATATAAAATTTATAAAGTGCATTTTATCAAAAATGTACCACGCATATCTTAGCGAATGAGCGATGTAAGGAAGTGAATTTTCATTTTTTTCTTAGTTATAGTGAATACTACAATATAAAAATAATATTTTAAATTCTGAGGGGGTAGGGTTGAAAATCGAATTTTTGCGTTTATTTGATATTCACATTCACATAAAAAAAAATTAACATCTTACATTATATAAAATTCTAATATTATCTATATAAAATATTTATATTTATATATAGTGGAGACTGGGGTTAGGTAAACCCAGGGGCTTGACTAAATCTCATTTTTCAATTAACTAGACTAGAAGGTTCAAATTTTATGCTAATATAGCTTTTATTAGTATGTATCTAGAGACAAAAAATGTTTTAAAATAATTAATTATTAAAAAAATTATTTAAATAAAATCTTGATGTCAAATTCAAAGAATTTTTACATGACAGATTTTCAATTTATATTATGTTATAATCATTTATATAAAAATTAAATTTTATAGCAAAGTTTAACACTCTTTTATAAATTTAAAAAGTTTTATGGGTGTTTCTATTGGGGCTTGTTGGTCAAAAATTTTTACTTTTCAAAAAACAAAATTTTAAAAATATGATTATATTTTTAAAAATATTTAAAAATCACTTTGATAAAGTATAGTAATAGATATCCAATCATATAATGTTCTTTATAATATCTAAAAGAACAAAAGAGTTATAGCTTTTTCGTAAAAATAGGTTAACCTAGCCCCAGTCCTAAATAAATAAATAATTTTTTTTAAATGAAGTTAAAATAATTTGCCTTTCTTAAAAAAATAAATTAAGATATGTCCTAAATTTGAAAAATAAATTACAAATCCAAACTTTTCGAACATTTAAACACAAATTAAATTAAAATATTTGAATATTAAGCTACTTCTTTCAATAAATCCGTGCCTTCCTTCTCCCTCCTCAGGTTCTGCAGGATGCGCCTCAATATCAGCTTCAACCATAACACTTAATAATGCCATCATGACTAAGGAAATAGCAAATAATCCTTTGTAGTTCATTTAGATGTGTATTAGATATCTAAGAACAATTACTTTATTATACATATTGAAAAAAAATTATATAGATATATTATAACAATAGCATACCTTAAATTTATGAAGTAAAAATTTTAAAAAGTTTTAAAAAAAATGTAAATGTAATTGCTTGTATTTCACTCCTTTATATATATAAATTTGATTGTTTACAATTTGGCAACTGTGAAATTCTATGTTTTATATAAATGTGTTAAATTAATTAAGAAAAATTAATTTTTTAAATAAATGCTGTTAATTCAAGGTTACCTTAACATATTAATCTTATTAATAATTCAATTCAATCTTTTTTAGAAATCTTGAACAATCATATAAGACACGTCATTCATTATCATGTTTATGAAATCTCTTTCTTCATGTAATTAGATATAGCTAATTAATAAATGTGTTTAATCCAGTTCCATTTATTTCTAACAATTAACTATAGCTGTATACATAAAAAAAATCTAAAGTTTAATTCAATAATGGCAAATTTTTAAAGATCTTCAATTTATCTTAAAAACCATTATCTGAAACTCATTAGGGGAAAATTTAATATCTAAGACTAATGTTGTCAAAAACACAAGATTAGATGCTTTTTTAGAAAAAAAAAGAGCGAAAACAGAATTTTAGCTAGAAAATATTATTACTTAGGAATCCAGCTTCGTATATATAGGGCATAAAGGTTTTGCTTTTTTTTGACCAAATCTTGAAGCTTAGCGATAAAAAAAAAATTTGGAATAATTTTGATTTAACCGTTATTACAAAAAGCGTCAAAATTTTGGTTTTCGACATTACGACGATTTTGTATATTTTCAGAAAAATAATAAAACCCAAGGAATTGTAGATTGTTATGTTTTGGGGTTACTCTTATTGCACATGGGTATGTATCAAATGGCAATATTTAAGAATGCATTAATTATATAAAAATAAATTTTTGGATAGATTTAAGAAGAAGTGTTTTATATATTCCCCTAATCAGTGCTAGGTTTATGATGACTTAGAGAAAAAAAATTATTTTCATGTTGTTGATTCGATGGGAAGAAAACTAGAAAACATTTTTGTATGAAAGAGAGAAATATACACGATCACAAGTAAGATTATCATTTTTTTCTAAAATGTTGCTCGAATAAGCTATAGAATCTGTCGGGGATAGTGTTATCCATGCAGGTAATTTCTTCACAAATTATTTAAAAACTAATAAATTTTGAGTTTTGAAATTTAGGCTAAATATTATTTTAATAAGGTGATTAAGTAGGTCTTCACCCAACATTTTAAATGCAATTTTAAATTTTAACACATCAAAAGTAAATTTTTAATTTTTTAACATTTTTATTAAGAAATTACTTTATAAGTGTTAATAAGACTAAATATAAATTCTAAATGATAAAATAAACTCAATAATATCATGTATAAAAATATTGACAATATTTATGAATTTAACATCTTCATGTGAAGATATGGGGCAGGTTGGCCGGGTCCCGTATTAGCCATTTTTAAGCAGTGATTATTTTCAATAAAATATATTCTACTAAATTTATAAGAACATTGAAAGCCACTAGCTAAGTGACAACAAGTTTTAAGGTGAAATATATTATAAATTAACCTGGTAAATTTTTACATATTTGACAATTTATTTTTCCATTTTAGAATAATCATTAAAGGAAAAGACGCGATGACACGCAACGCGAAAGGATAATAATTATCCTGGATAATTCATAATTCTTAATTTTTCCTTTTTAAATTTTATAATAAAAAACTTAGAGATTTTTTCTTAAATATTAATTTCTACAGTAGGTCTATGAAAAGTATAAAGCCAAGGTTAAATTTTGGAGTACATCTATGATTTTTTTATGAACAATCCCCACAACCCTTTTTACACTTCAGATATTTTACAAACCATTTAGCTTCTTCTTTAATATATAATTTTTTTGAATCCACTTAAAGATTAAATACTTAGATATTTTATCATGCTTTGCAAACAGAATATTAAGGAAGATAAAATATTTGGTTATGAAATTTTTGATATCGTTATACAGCTTGGTTGTGAATATATATAACTCGCCTTAATTAAATTAATAATATATTTTGTAAATGTATACATATGTGTTAAATTGCATGATAAACATAACTTAATAATGATTTTAAGAGACGTTTTTGTTTTCTGTTTTTTTAGAGTTTAACTTATATATTGGAAATATCGATATAAACTTAATCAACCTTAATTTTGAATAGGGTCGATAAAAATGTTTTTGACTAAGACAGTAAAATTCTAAGTACAGATAATATTACCATAATTTATTTTTCTCTTTTAGATAACTTCACTAGGTCCTTTATAAATTATTTTAATCAAGTGATAATTTAAAATGTATTTAAGATTAGGGATTCAGGGCTGTGCCGATCCACAAATCAATCATCTATAACCAATAGGATAACCGATCAGATATTTAGAAAAATATATTAACCATTCTAACTTTGAACCAATGTCTTAATAAATTAGATTACTTCCATGCAATATAAATAATTAACTGTAAACTATGGGCAGAACAATAAACACTGAAATTTTTAGATGTTTTTTGTTTTTTTATTCCGCAAAAATTAGCTATCTTATTTAAAATGTGAGCAGTATTTATAGCTGATTTTGACGATAAGGAGACTGGGGTTAGGTAACCGGGGCTTGGCAAACCACTTAATCTCATTTTAAAATTAAATACACCAGAAGGTTAAAATTTTATCCGAATATAGTTTTCATTAGTAAATATCTATGGACAAAATATATTTTAAAATAATTAATTACTAAAAATTTTATTTAAGAAATAAAATTTTGATGAAATTTTTAAAAGATTTTTACATGACAGAATTTTTTTATTAAAATGGATAATCATTTATATGTAAATTAAATTTTATTACAAAGTTTAAACATTCTTCTATAATTTGGGTAAGTTTTATCAGTATTTATCAAATCTAGATATTGTTTCAATCATGATTTGTCAATTTAGAGCTAGCGGGGTTTGCTAAATCATACACGTCAATTATGGCAATTAATAATGAAAAAAATTTTAAAATCTTGAAAAGGCAATTTCATGGCTGTTTATGATTGTTATTTAGATTTATGCTAAGAAATCTTAATATCTCCTTAAAATTCATATTATTTTATGTCCAAAATGTTTATTAAATTAGCCAAAATTAAGTTTCAATTTTTATATACAATTAGCTTCAATTTATAAGTATTATGATATTTTGAACAATAAAACAATAAAATTATTCTATACATATCATTACTAATAAATAAAAATGCATTTCAATTTATTATGGCCTAAAAAAATCAATGGTTTTGGAAGCCCCTTGAAGTGGTTTGCCTCACCCCGCTATTGGGGTTTGTTGGGCAAAATTTTTACTTTTACAAATAATATAATTTTAATAAAATAATTATATTCTTAAAATTTTATAAGGAACCTTTATAGTGGATAGTTTTAGGTATCTAATCATATATTATTTTTTATATATTATTAAAAAATCTGAAATATTTATAAACGACTTCATTATATTTCTAATATATACCTACAACAATGACATATATAATACCTAGACTAACGATTCAATTATTAAAAGTGTACATCAATGCAAGCTGGAGACCCCATCTTGGTTACGCTAATCAATATTTTTTAAACGAAAGCCTAATTCCTATATCTGATGCAAACTTTATTAAAGAATTACCGGATCATCGAGATAATAAGGAAGCAAGTTATCAATTTAATAGTAGTTTTCAACATGAGAATAATTGCTATATGTGTTACCAAAATGGCGGGTCTAGCTGATTTGCTTTTAACGACTCTTAAAAATGCATTTTAATGAATAAATCGTCAGTCTAGGTATTATATATGTCATTGACCTAAAAATTCTATATGAATTATTTTCATTAAGTGATAATTTAAAATGTATTTAAGATTAGGAATTCAAGCTGTTCCGATCCACTAATTAATCACCGATTTGATATTTTTGATATTCGCACATAACCCATCATATGATATTTAGATTAAAATATATTTACCATTCTAACTTAGAATCAATGTGATATTAAAATAGATTACTTCCTGCAAAAAACATAATTAACTGTAAATAGGGCAAAACAAGAAACACTGAAATTTTCAAGCTTTCATAGCTAAAGCTAGTTTTTTTTTTATTTCCCAAAATTAGGTTAGCAGTATTTATGGCTGATTTTGACTATAATATCTCATTTTTAGTTCACTCTAATTTTTTATACAACAAATATTTTAATCTTTTAATTATAACTTGTAATGTATAAATTTTTTGATTCGGCCTTTTATCGCTTCCGCCCATCATTTTTTTTTATGTTAATCTATTTTTCTTTAAAAAGATTATATTCACCTGCTTCTTTTTACATATTTTGATACAAAGATCGGAAATCCATTCCAATATCGAAGGTCTATTACTACTTATGAACATTAAATTTGACAAATTATTTACTCTTAAACTCGTTTTTTTATCTGCGATCAAAATCATTAGTTCAATTCACACTCGGTTGTAGGATAATTCCCATAGTTTAAGACATTTTTAAAAATTTTAATTAGTAATATCTTAATTCTTCTATAAGAAACAATCTGATTTCGGCCTCAAGTTGATTTTATGCGTTTTGCCCTCCTTGCCTATTATGAGAAGTGGTTAATATTTTACTAACATTACCTATTTCAACAACAGAAATCGATTGAAGACTTCTACAACATGAAAATTAGTATTTTTATATCATTAAGATTGATTAAAAATATTAAAGAAAAATAATATTATATACGAATCGGAACAAGACTCTGGTCAAAGAGGGCGAAATATTAACAATGGTATGAATTAAAAAAATATTATGAAATTTAATAATTGATTCATATTCAAAATAAACTTAATATTAGCGTAAAAAAATATTTATTTGAATTTGACTTTGACCATATTTAATCGGTCAAATGAACAAACCTTATATAAAACATGTACTGAGCTAATCCCTATCTTAAATTACAACATCTATTATATATATAAAAGCCGTGTCGCATTGCAAATCAAATTTAACCAATAGTATTCTTTTATAAAATATTCGTACAATAAAAATCACCATAGCTTTGTCCAATGAGAATATCATACTATATCAAACATTCATTCACATAAGCTAAACATCTTATACATCATAAGTATAATTTTTAACAAATTTTAT